AAAAAAAAAAAAAGGAAAGAAAAGCTAAAAGTTTGTCACCCATTTACCACCCTTAAGCGTTAATTCCCAGAAAGATTTTTTTATTTAAGGGCCACATTTTTAATGGGCAGGAGAATCTTTTGGCAATTAGACCCTTGTGCCTGAAACATGGTGACGGACTCACTTTCCACCGTGGGGGGTAAGGGTTCTGCTGGATTTTTCCTATTTGCCACAGCGAGTTTGGGCATGGGGACAAGGAGACAAATTGAAGAAGAACCAAGGACCATTTGCTGCTTTTTTGCCTTTCTGTTGCACCTTTGAAACCTTCAAGACGGGAAAACCTGAAGGGCTTCAGGGGGAGGGGGCAAAGGAAGGCATGGACTTGAATAAAAAACTTGTTTTTTAATGCTTACACCGTTTGGAAACCAGTTTCCGTACTGGAAAATGAACAGGAAAAGTTTATGGATGTGCCTGAATCATGCGCTCAGGGAGGGAAATGGTGAAACTGTCAAAAAAGTCATCATGAGTAGGAAGCAAAAATTCAACTGGCCTTTTTTTTCTTTTGTTTGGCTTTCCAACCAAAAAGCCCATCTTTGTTTTAATAAAATCATTCCTAAAAATTGCGCATTGACCAAAGGTTGGAAAATAAACGTTTAAACTTGAAATCAAACATCTTGAAAAATCAATTTTCTCAGAAGTGCTGAGAGTATGTGCATTTAATTGGCCTATTATTTTTTTTTCTGTGTACTTTTAAATTTTCTTTTTCATCTACAGTTCATTTGATTAACTTTCAAAATATCTTAATAAATAAATTTTTACATGTTTTTAATACAAACAATAATTAAAAGCCAAAACAAACAGATTAAACCGGGCATTTACAAATGAAAGGTAGAAGAAAAAATGCTTCCAGAAGAAAAGAAACCCGGATTCAAAAAAAATTTTTAAAAAAGGGAGTGGGCGGGGCCCAAACAGTGGTCACGCTGTAAATTCCTGCTTCTCTGGGGAAGGCCCGAGGGGATGCTCGCGGGTCAGAAGTTGAAAACCAAAAGGCCTTGAAGCAAAGAGCAGACCTTGTTTTCTTACTATACAAAAATTTGAAGAAAATTTATGGCCAAACTTATATAATATAGAAAAAATTTAGCCAAGGGCAATGGGTTGGCCACATGGCTTGTTAGTTTTTCCAAAGTACTCGGGAGGGCTGAAGGCAGGAGGTTGCTTGAGCCAGGGGTTTTGAGTTGGCTTATGAGCTAGGCTGAACACATGAACTCACTTCTTAAAGCCGGCACCAAAAAATGGAGGACTCTTGTTCTCAAAAAAAAAAAAAAGGAAGTTGGTTGTCTTCTTACTTATGTTGTAGTTGAGGCACAACAAATTTGATATTCGTATTTCTAATTGAAATTGCCTTTGTTTCTCTTCCCCTCTTCATTTTTTATAACTTCAACCCAACTAAGTTGTTGACTCTGGGCAACTTTTCCTAAAGAACAGCAGTTCCCCAACCTTTTTGTACCAGGGATGTTTCTCATGTGAGACCATTTTCAATGGACTTTCTGGCAGGGGAGTGTTTTCAGGATTGGATTTAATTTGCATGCATATTAATACACTTATTTCTATTATTTTGATTACATTTGCAACTGCCACTTCACTGGGAAAGGGTGTTTGATTTTGATCTGCAAAAAGCCAAATTGAATTATTTTATTGTTCTTTTTCTGTGCAGTTTAAACTCTCTTGTTGGTTTGATTAATCTGTTAAATTTTTGTAGCGCCCAAAGCCCTAAGAATTCCACTGCCTTACTTCCATACTCAAAAATTTCATTTTTTTCAAACTTGGGCTCTCCCAACCACTCACTTCTTGTGTGTGGCCGGGTTCCTAAACAGCCAACAGGGGTTTGGGACCAAGCCTTAGAGGACTGTAGTGAACGCTGATAATTTTATTGTATTTTTCCTGCTATAAAGGCACCACACTTGATAGGGAAACCATCTTCTCCAAAAACTTCTGTCTTTTCATTTTTCAAACTTTCAAGTGTTTCAAATACCCCAACCCTTACTCGGGGTCTCAGTCTAAGCTGACATTTACCTCTTTTGGCTCTTTGTTAAATTTACACGCCAAGAGGAACTTTCCAGTCTTATTTAAATTGTTAAAAACCATCCTTGAGATTTACCTAATCAAAGCTTCTTCTTTAATTTTTTAGAAAAAATAAATTTTAGGCACTGTTTTTAATTAGTTCTGGGATATGTGAACAAGAAGTTCTTTTATCATATGGGTAAAAAAATTTTTTTAAAACTTCATCAGTTAACAGGGACATGGCCACGTACTTTGGTTGTGTAATTCCTCATGTGAGTACTACAGTACATTGTTTAAACATTGAGTAGTTCTCAGAAAAATGCTTGTTTGGCTTGCATCGTAATAATACATAGAACCATTAATCTTTTAATTTATAATTTTCCAAAGTTTTTTAAACTAGGATTGTTTGGAAAATTTAAATAGGCCCATTCTTTCTTCTTGAAATCTGATAATTTCTCTAAATTCATCTTTTTCTCTTTTTTTCATTTCAGGCGTGTGATTTTTCATTGTTTTGGAAATATTTGAACATATTCTCTTAAAATAAATAAAAAGGTAGGAAACTTTAATTAAGAGGTTTAGAATTAAAAACTTGACTGGATAAAAGAACAACCTTATTTTAAATTCCATTGTATTTGCAAATGAGGAAGAACAACTTTGTATTTTTACTGTTTGTTATTCCAAAATTAATTTTGGTTTTCAAGAAAACAAGGGTTATTAAAAAAAATTATAAAATCTTTTCAACACCTCCTGTCTTTACTCTTACATAGAAAAATTCTATCTATAAATATTATTATAATGTGTGTGGTGTTATTTTACTTTCTTGAAACGATTTTCCAAGGAATAAGGCTCATATTTGTTTTCTTTTACCTTAATTTTTTTAAATTTATTAAAGTAATTTATTTTCCTGGACTTCCAAGTTTTATTAAATAAAAAACCAAGTATAAATTAAGGTAAAAATTTGAGAGAAAGAGAGATTTAGGACCAACAAAACAAAAGTTCCAAAGTTGGTTTCTCTTCAAAGTTTACACATGGGCCATTTTCAAAGAACAATTAACCACTAAAATGTTTTGTGTTGCTTATTCAAAATTCTATGACTATAGTGTATCTAAAATGATTTGATTCATTTTAATATTAAAAACAATGTACTGATCACAATTTTACTGATCTAGCTTTAGTACTTTATTCTTTTTTTTTTTTTTTTAAAAAGAGATTAGGAATTCTTCTTTTGTCGCATAAGGGCTGGAGATGGCAGTGGCTTGAATCGGTAGGCTCATGCGTCTCGGAAAACTCTGGCTTAACGATCTTTTTCCACCTTAGTCCCCAAGGTTAGGCTACAGGGGGGCTAACAGGCAAGTGCCCCCACCAAATCTGGTTTAGTGGTTTTTAAAAATGTTTTGTAGGAATTAGTTTAGCCGAACAAATTGTTTAATTGGGCAAGCCTAACCAAATTGAATTGGAAAATGTATTGAGTATATAAATAAAAACCAATATTTGAAGGTCCCGAAAAAGGCGAAAAGTATTCATGAAAAATTTTCAGGTGTTCCTTTACCAATTTGGCTTGGCAGGGCTGTGGAAGGGTGAAAAAGGCTGGGCAGTTTTCTTCGCTTGACGGGCATTGCCGAAGCTTTCCTTGGGCTGGGAACGCAAGAAAACTCAAATTTCCCATTTGGAAAACCGTTGGGCACACTGTTAAGGGGTAAGTTCTAACAGTGTGTTTGAAAAAAAAAAACTACCAGTGAGTATGTGGGGGGGTTCAATCCGAAACTTTCATGAGGTTCTCCCAGGCACCTATCCACGCCTTCTTTAGATTGTTTCCTTAGGAAAATAGCTCCAGTTCCGAAACAATGACCATAATCATCTTCTCCTAGGGAGGGGCCCCCAGGAGATATAGTTTTTAGGGGCCTGGATTGTTTGTCTGCTGTGAACTCAGACAGGGTGTGGAGGCCCCACTTGAGAGGCTTAGTCACTCTAGGCCCTGGAGACTGGGCCTGCAGCTGTTAAGGAAGCCAAGAAAGCCCCTTAAAGGTGAGCCACCCAGGAAAGGAAGATAATAGGCCAGAGGAGGGCAGGAGAGGATGCATATGAGCTTTTTTTGGTGTTAGACCTTTTGAATGGGCAGGAAGGGACAGGAGGCTCAGGCAGGGTAAGGCGGCGGGAGCTTTTTCAGAGTGTCTTTTTGGCCTGCCCATAGAGATTTTAAACACTGTTGTTTGTTAAGGTTAGTTTTTATTTGAGTCTTGCTGCAGAGCTTTGGGCAGGAGGCTTATAATAAGAAGGCAAGTTGAAAATCTCTTACTTCTGATCCTATGGGACCAAACACAGACTCATAACTTTTCCTAATCATTCTTTCCCCTATCTTGTGATGGCCTCCCATTCTTTCACTGTTCCCTACTTTCCCTGTTGTTACTGTCACACCCCTGTCAGGTTAGTGTGGCCTGGGCTAGCCAAGGAACATTTATTTTGTTCCAGCTGAACAGTAGAATACCATACACAACACATATGCACACAACACGCATGCACACAACACACATGCACACAACACGCATGCGCACACCCAGTGATGTGCTCTGTTACTAGTCACAAGATAACTTTACCCTTGGCCTCCATCTCTTAGAGAACTCTAAAGGTAGAGATTTTTGCTCCACTTGCTTCTTATTATAAGCCTCCTGCCAATGGCTCTGGCACAAGACTATAGAAACTAACTTAACAATACAACGCTGTTAAAATCTCTAGGGGCAGGCCAAAAGACGCTCTGGAAAGCTCCGCCCTTACCTGCCCTGAGCCTCCTGTCCTTCCTGCCCCAGATCAAGGTCTTACACCAAGCTCATATGCATCCTCTCCTCTCTCTGGTCTATTATTTCCTTTCTGGGTGCTCACTTTAAGGGGGCTTCTGGCTTCCTTAACAGCTCAGCAGTCTCAGGCCTGGAGTGGAGCTAAGCCTCTCAGTGGGGCTCACACCTGTCTGAGTTCACAGCAGACAAACAATCCAGGCCTCCTATATCCCTGGGGCTCCCTAGAGAAAGATGATTTATGGTCAATTGTTTGGAACTGGAGCTATTTTCCTAAGGAAACAATCTAAGAAGGCGTGGATAGGTGCCTGGGAGAACTCATGAAAGTTCGGTTGACCCACATACCTCATCTGGAGTTCTAAACACACTGTAGAACCTACCTAACAGTGTGCCACGGTTTCCATGGGGAAATGAGTTCTGCGTTCCAGCCAGGAAAGCTCTGGCATTGCCGTCAGTGAGAACAGCCCAGCTTTCACCTTCCACAGCCTGCCAGCCCAATGGTAGGGAACCACCTGAAGTTCATGATACTTTTCGCCTTTTGTCTGGACCTCAATATATTTATTTGGTTTTATTATATACTCATTACATTTCATTTCATTTGTTTAGGCTGCTAGTAACACTTGTTGCGGGCTACTTTATTTCTCTACAAAACATTTTTAAAAACACTAACCAGGAGTTGTGGCACTTGCCTGTAGCCGTAGCTACTTGGGAGGCTAAGGTGGGAAAGATCGCTTGAGCCCAGGAGTTCGAGACTGCAGTGAGCTACGATCAAGCCACTGCATTCTCCAGCCTAGGCGACAGAAAGAGATCCTATCTCTTAAAAAAAAAAAAGAATAAAGTACTAAAGCTAGATCAGTATTGTGATCAGTACTATGCTTAATATTAATGAAGTCAAATTCAATTTAATACACTATATCATAGAATTTTGAAATATGCAACTACAAACATTTAGTGTAAGTTGTCTTAGATATGGCCCTTTTGTAGACTTGAGAGAAACTTTGACCTTTGTCTGTGTCTAATCTCTCTCTCTCATTTGTACCTTAATTAATACTTGGTTTATTAATTAATACTTGGAATCAGGATAAACTTACTTATAAATTTAAAAAATTAAGTGTAGAGAAAACAAGTATGAGCCTTATTTCCTTGGATCTGTTCAGAGAGGTAAAATACACACACACACACATTATATATATATTATATAGATTTTTCTAGATGGTAGAGTAGGAGGAGGTGTGAAAAGATTTTTATATTTTTAATAACCCTTGTTCTGAGACTCAAAAATTAATTTTTGGAATAACAACAGTAATATGAAAGTGTCTTTTTCTTCATTGCAAATACAAATGGATTTAAATAAGGGTTGTTTTCTTTTATCCAAGTCAACTGTTTAATTTTACCTCTATCTAAGTCTACCTTTTTATTTTATTTAAGATGTTATGATGTCAAATTACTTTCACATGATCACACAGCTGAAATGAAAAAAGAGAAAAGATGATTTAGAAAGTTAATCAGATTCAGGAAAGAAAATGATGGGCTATTTTAAGTTTCACAATCCTAGTAACTTTGATAATAAATTAACAGATTAAATGGTTCTATGGTAATTATTTAGATGCAGCCAATTCAACAGCATTTTCTGAGACTACTACATGTTAAACAATGTACTGTAGTATCTCACATGAGGATATACACACAGAAGTACGTGGCATGGTCCTGTTACTGATGAAGTTTATAAATTTTTTACATATATGAAAAAGAGAACTCTGTTTCACATGTACCCAACTACTAAACCTACTGCCTATTACTTTCTAAAATTAGAGAAGGGGCTGGACTTATGGTAAACTCCAGGAAATGGTTACAATTTAAATAGACTGAAAGTTCCTCTTGGGCGTTGTAAATTAATAAGAGCCAGAGGAGGGTTAAATTCAGCCTTTTATAAGAGACTTTGAAGAAAATGGCCTGAAGCTGGGGGGAGTAGAGGGGTGGTATTTTGAAACACTTGGGAAGAGTTGAACTGAGAGCAGAATGTGTTTTGAGAAGATGGTCCTATCAGTGTGGTGCTTTATAGCAGGAAAATACATAAATTATCAGGTCACTACAGTCTTCTAAGGCTGTGGTCCCCAACCCCTGTGGCCTGTTAGGAACCGGGCCACACAGCAAGAAGTGAGTGGTGGGAGAGCCAGTGATGATGATCTGAGATGGAAGTAAGGCAGTGATGCTAGGGCTGGGGAGCGGCTACAAATACAGATTATCACTAGCAGAGAGGTTTGACTGCACAGAGACCATAATAAATCAATTGCTTGCAGACTCATATCAAAACCCTATCAGTGAGTGGCAAGTGGCAATGTAATAATAATAGAAATAAAGTGTATAATAGATGCAATGCAATTGAATCATCCTGAAACCACCTCCCCTGCCAGAAGTCCATTGAAAATGTGTCTTCCATGAAACCAGTCCCTGGTACCAAAAAGGTTGGGGACTGCTGTTCTAGGAAAAAGTGCCCAGAGTCAGCACTAGTGTGAATGTATAAAAATGAAGAGGGAGAGAAACAAAAGGCATTTCAATAGAAATACAGATATAATGTGTGCCTCACTACACATAAGTAGAAGACAATTCACTTCCTTTTTTTTTTTTTTTTTTTTTGAGACAGAGTCTCACTCTGTTGCCTGGGGGTGAGTGCCATGGTGTCAGCCTAGCTCACAGCAACCTCAAACTCCTGGGCTCAAGCAATCCTCCTGCCTCAGCCTCCCGAGTAGCTGGGACTACAGGCATGTGCCACCATGCCCGGCTAATTTTTTCTATATATATTAGTTGGCCAATTAATTTCTTTCTATTTATAGTAGAGACAGGGTCTCGCTCTTGCTCAGGCTGGTTTCGAACTCCTGACCTCGAGCAATCCGCCCGCCTCGGCCTCCCAGAGAGCTAGGATTACAGGCGTGAGCCACCGCGCCCCGCCCACTCCCTTTTTAAAATTTTGATCCTGGTTCTTTTCTCTGGAGCCATTTCTTCTACACCTTTCATTGTTATGCCTTGTTAATCTTGTTGTTTTGGGCTTTTTATTTTTATTTGTTTTTTGTATTATAAAAGCATGTATATTTATTTTAGATATTTTGAAAAGTATCAAAGTGTAACGTAGGATGAAAAAGAAAAGAAATTTTGAAAAGTACACAGAAAAAATATAAATAAGGCATTAAATGGCACCTATACTCTCAGCACTCTGAGATGATTTCAGATGTTTGATTTCAGGTAACGTTTTTTTCCAACCTTGGTCAATGCATTTAGGAGTGATTATTAAACAAGATGGGCTTGGTGAAGCACAAAGATGAGGCAGCTTGATTGCTTCCTACTCACTACTGCCTTTGAGCAGTTCACCATTCCCTGCCCTGAGCCATGATTCAGGCACATCCCATAGCTTTCCTGTCATTTTCAGGTACTGGAACTGGTTCACGTGTAGGCATTAAAAAGTCAGTTTAAGTCAAGTCCATGCCTCTGCCCTCCCTGAGCTCAGGTCCGTCTGAGGTTCAGGTACACGGAGCAGAGCAGGCAATGGGCTGGTCTTTCATTCTCCTTGTCCCATGCCACTCGCTGCATAGGAAAATCCACAGACCCTTACCCCCAAGGGTGGAAGTGAGTCCGTCACCATGTCAGGCACAAGGGTCTATGCCAAAAGCATTCTCTGCCCCAGTAAATGTGCTTAAAATTATCCTTTCTGGGAAATACGCTAGTGGTGGTTATGGTGATCACTAGGCTTCTTTTCTTTTTTTTTTTTAATTTAATAGTAGATATTGTGAAGCTGTGTCTAACCCCCTTTCTTGAGAACATGAAAATACTTATTATCAATTATTCTTAGTTTAGGCTTTGGCCAAAAGTTCAAGGCAATAGAAAGAGTCCCATTTCACATCCTAATACACATATACATACATACTCACATACACATAAAATAATAATAGTGACCCTATCACATCATTTTTGCATTATACTTATTTTCCATTAGTATTATATAGTGAGAATTTGCCATGTCAAGGTACTATATTCCAAAAACATGATTTTTTAATTGGCTCCTAATTTCTCATTATGTGAGTATCCATTTCTTATTTATTCAACCATCACCCAGTTAGACATTTACAATTTTTTAACATAAATATTCACTGCAATAAACATCCTTGTATGTGAATCTTTGTGCACATCTTTGATTATATCCTCAGCAGAATTCCTAGAAGTGGAATGTTTCAATCAAAGGTTATGGACAGGCCAGGCACAGTGGTTCATGCCTGTAATCTCAGCACTTTGGGAGGCTGAGGTGGGAGGATCACTGGAGGCCGAGAGTTCCAGTCCAACCTGGCCAACATAGCAGTACCCTGTATCTATAAAAAAAATTTTTTTAATTAGCTGAGAGTGGTGGTACACCTGTAGTCTTAGCTACTCAGGAGGCTGAGGCAGGAGGCTTCCTTCAGCCCAAGACCTCGAGGTTACACCGAGCTATGATTGTGCCACTGCACTCCAGCCTGAGAGCAAGAACCCTTGTCTCTTAAAAAAAAGAAGAAGAAGAAAAGAAAAAAAGGCTCTGGACATTTTTAAGTCTCTTGCCCTCAAGACAAGTGAAATAAACCCCAAACACACACACATTCTACCCAAACATTATTACGATAATTTCACCTTTGCAATTTGATTAGTGAAATACATTTTGCTATTTTGGTTTATATTTCTTTGATTGTTATTGAGGCAGATTCTTATTTACTCTGTATTTCTTTGACTGTAGTCTATTCATGAATAGACTCTGCTCATTTTTTCCTTGGAATGTTACTATTTTCTTATTGATTTATAAACTCTCCTCATACAAGAAATATAGTTATCCTTTTGTCATATTGTGTTTGTTGCAAATGTTTCCCAATTTGTTTAACTTGATTTTGTTCCTAATATTTTGGCTTGCAGAAACTTTTAACTTTTGTGCAATCAAATCTATTGGTATCTCTGTTGCATAATCTAGCTTAAATGGAAAAGGATTTATTGGAAGAAAATTTAAAGAGGAATAAAAAAAGGCATCCTTTAATGATCAGGGAAACTCTGTAGGCCTTACAAAATACTATTAAAATTAATATCAATGTCACCGAGCCTGTAAATCTGTCTTTCTGCTTCTCCTTTAATCTCTTGTGGTCTCCATTGGTGTCATATGCTCCTGCCAGCAACTTTCTCCTGATTGACAACCTTCTATAATAGTTCCCATATCCAGAGAGGCCAAGAGGATTTATCTTTAGGTAGGAAAGTTCTGGGGAAAGACTCCGATTGACCCAGCCTATGACATGCCCTCTTCCAGACCAATCATTGGTGCCAAGAAAATAAAGTACTCTGATTCACCAGATAAAGACACATCATAAAGT